GGAAAATCAAATGAATATATTCATCCCCACATCAATGGACGTTAGTTTTGCTCCATTATTAAATGAATATTCATTGTGATAAAGAAAGCTAGCAACCAACTGAATACCTGATGGCGGCCGAGGAAATTTTAGAGAACTTAAATATATAAATAAAGCTAGCAACCAACTGAATAACTGATGAGCCACAAACTAAAATGTTACTACTTTCGAAAGTCATAAAAAAATCATCTCAAATGAGACAATTTTTTTTTACAGATGTCAGACGTCATCTAGAAGAAAATGCACTCTAATTCTTCTTGTAATATGGATAAACCGTATAAAATGTTTGCAAAGCAGTAAGCAAAAGCAGTGCAATAGCAGCCATCAAAGAAATGAAAGTCCATGGATTGCTAAAATACTTTTGATTAAAACTAGCTCTCCATGTATTCCATTTCTTATTATAGTAGAGATTTACCTGCTCCGATAGCTCTGACAAGTAGCAATCATTAATGTCGGACACTACCTCCTTGCAAAGCCGGTTAAACATATGGGCCACCTCCCTATCGCTCCCGAGCAAATTTTCGATAATTTCATTGTCGTGCAAGTGCCCAACATCCACCTCGGAGTTAATGAGGTTATTCATAAATGTAAGGTAAGCTGTTATGTGATTGCGACACTTAAAATTGCACTGTTCGAAGGCCATCAGATTGAGGAATAGGGATTTGGTCCCGTCGTGAATAAAAATGCGAGGGATGTACAGGACGCCTTCCTCGAACTTAATGTCCCAAAACTGGACGTCTGTCCGGCGCCAGAATTTGATGCTGGCGTCGCGGAGATCAGCAACGCAGTGAATGAGCTGCCGACGCCGCTTTTGGGCGATTGGAAGCCAGCGAGAGGCGGAGAAAAGCGTTGGGCTAGCGATTTCAACTGGCGGTGCGGATTGCTCGCTAGGGAAGCTCGGCCGTGGACCGGAAGCTGGCGTGAGGAGCGTGCGGAGCGGTAGGAGGCTGTGGCGGAAGAGATCGAGGCAATGTAGGGCTCTTCTGTCGTCGGGAGGATTAGCAGTCACCATGGGACGGAGGATCTCCTCGATGGGCATAAGGGGGTTGAAGAAGAGGAGCGCGAGGGGAGCCACGCGGTATGAGCTAGAAGGCTCGCAGCCCTCCTGGACGGCAAGGATCCAGTCGAGGACGAAGAGAGGGAGCTGATTCTCCAGCATTATCATGTCGCGCTGGAGCAAGTGCATGATGCCGCGGACGGCGAAGACGGGGTCGTTGGGGGAGTAGTTGAGACCTTGGAAGCCGTGGGCAAAGCCAAGGAAGAGCTCGAGGGTGAATATGGAGTCGAGGACGAGAGTTTCAACGAAGTCGTCGGAGGACAGGGAGATGGGAGCCTCGTAGCAGGAGCGGGCACGGTCTTCGAGCAAGCGGGCGGCGTCGAGGTAAAGGCTGACGTCGTGGCCAGTTCGGTCGAGAGCGTGGTAAAGGGAGCGCCATTTGTGGCGATCCATGGTGCGGAAGGGGCGGCGTCCGCGGTGGTAGGGGCCGATGGAGACGATCTTCGGGGTGTAGGCGGTCTGATCAACGTCACGGAGGGATTTGGGGACGCGATAGATGGATTGGGTCACCCAGTGGGAGGAAGCCTCGTCTCGTCGGGCCTGGCTGATCTTTTCCTGGAATTTCGAGATGATCCTTGGCAGCGGTGGCGGAGGAGGAGGCGGCGGCAGTGGCAGCGGCTGAGACCTGAGAAGGGGTTTGAACGCGGAATTGTACTTGTACAAACCGAGGGGAATAGGCCTGGCTATCGGGTTTGCCTGGGGTATGCAGAGATTAGCTCCGATGGCTTCCTTCAACTTGAGGGTGAGGATGTAGAAGACAATCAGCTGCTCGTCTAAGAGGGAAACCATGTCTTCACTGGATGCCATGAACGAGAGGTCTTCACTGGATGCCGAGAACGAGAGGTCTTCACTGGATGCCGAGAACGAGAGGAATGCCGAGTATATATAATTATTAATATATATTAGATTAAATTTAAATTTTAAAACTAATTCCATGTTTCTACTCCGTCTCCGCCGTCTCCGTTTCCGTCTCCGCCTTCGCCTCCGCCTCCGCCTAATTTTAATTTTTTTTCTAACGTTGTCACTTGGCAGTTTTAGCTACAGCCTCCACTAACACGGGAATATTCACTGCAAATAACGAACCATGTGTTAAAAGCAACACTTATGTGGCCATGATTTTGCTACAGGTTAGCTATGCTGGTATGTTCATAATCTCAGTGGCAACTCTCAGGGATGGGATGAACCAATTTGTGCTCGTTGTATATCGTAATATTGTTGCTGCGGCTGTCATTGCTCCTTCTGCACTCTGGTTTGAGAGGTTATCTCCCTTTTACCTTATAAGAAGATTAAATAATTTAAGCTTCAGTCTGATTATAGTGATTCCGTATGAAATAAGAATTTGATAAGTCAGTTCATATGCTCATAAAATTTTATGGTGTGTTTGGATGCTTAGAGCTTAAGTGAAAGGAAAAAAAAGGTTCAAATGATTAGTTATGGATTCATCATATTCAACCGGAAATTTTTGGAATTTTATTTCATTTGCTTCACTTTTCTTCCAAACAAATTGGAGATTGTAGGTAACTAAATTTCCAATAATTTGATAGATTCATTATCAAGCAACCTGTTCTAAGGGCATCTCCAACCGAAAATCTCATTTATCACTCCAAAATGAAATGTAACAAAAAAAATGGTGTGATTCATCTCCAATCGAACTCCATTTTGCGCCCAGATAACCATCTTTCTCCTTCGCATGTTTTTTCGGCAAATCCGGTAGAGACAGAGCTTAATATTCGTTGAATAAAATCTGTTGTGGTCCATAGCAAGCTAATTATGCTTCTCGTCTTATAATTTTATAGGCCAGTGCTTGAGCAAAACTTCTATTGTATGGGAACCTCAGCAAGTTTTGCTTCTACGCTAGAGAACATAATTCCAGCAATTAGTTACCTTATGGCCCTTGTTCTCAGGTAATCCTTAAATTAATTAGTTGAGACAAACACATAGGAAGTTATTTTCCTTTAATTTTACTACGGTTGCATTAGTGGCAAATCATGCAAGTAGCAAGCCATGGATTATTGGTTTGGATAAGCGGCTTCACTTATTTGTAGAAAGTTGTTCACATAGAGGAAAGTTCTTTTGGATTTGTATAATGTTCTATATAAATTACAGCTACTTTGGGTCAGAAGAAAACTCTCAATAATTGCATTGGGTTTATAATGAAGAATAAAATATTACAGACTGCTTACAAGCATGCCTAGGCAGAAATTATGTGATCATCAGGCATCAGCACGAGTGTGAGACAAATAAATGTTCAAAAGTCTCCAATTCATAAAAAGACTGCTACAAAAAAGAATGAAGATGACGATGAATAAAAATTCCAAGATACCACGATTTAGTTGACCCAGATAACAAATGGGATTAATGAAATAAGAAATGTAAAGAAGCATTTTCATATCATTATAATTGAATTTCTCTAGTGAAAAAACAGAAATGGTTGCTAAAAAGTTCCAGGGCACCTGAAGAGCCACATCACCATAAAAATTCTTGTCAATGTCTGCCCACTTGATTATCATCATCGCCAGCAAAGATTCTTTGTTCATAAACAAAAAAAACAACAACATGCTACTGCTTGTAATGTATATGGCACTAGTGTTGCAAATAAAATCGGAGACCGTCAAAATCATGAAGTGAAATTTTGATCGTGACAAAGTAACACAAAACAGTTTGAATGGGAGAGATTATGATTGCAAAACATAATTATATCAAATTCAAAAAAATAACATTAGGTCAAAAGAAGGCAGCATGATTGCCTAAATATGACTCCCAAGGCTTGTCATAAACAAAATCGGCTGAAATAACTTTTACATTTTGGTACAAACAATGCTATTTCTCTCTCTAGACCTCAAGCTCCTGCACCAAGATGGAAAGCAATGTGGCAGGCTATTAAGGGTCCCTCCTGATTCCAGTTGTTAGAATCCAAAAAGAGAATTAACATAGAAGTTCCCCCATAAGTTGTCATTCTCTCATATGTGAGCTGTCTTGTTCTTTCCTCCAGTTACACAAAATTGCTTCACAGAAACCAGTATATTCTCCGGCACAAGAGGGCCGTCCTCATGATCAGCAAGCTTCGAGTTCCATTTCATGCTGCTGATCATCTTCTTCAACTTTATCAGTACATCAACTTCAACCCGGAAAATGACTGCACCTTCAGGCCTAAGAATTATATCCATCTCTAGAAGAATATATTTCATTTTGCACCTGTTTGTTGAAAGATCAAGAACTCATACTCTTCATTCAAATCAGGGTGAGAAGAGAATACACGATGAATTTTAACAAATTGTCCAGTGACAACAGTAGAACAGCCTACTTTCTCCTGTGCAATCTTTTTGAAAGGTAGCGCAAAAACAAGAGAAGGTCAACAATCATAGATTTTTAACAATAAATATACTCACCTATCATTCTTTTCACTTAAATTCTGCCTATGTGAGCTCTCCACAAACAATTTTTGTAAATACAAATTTTAACCATGTGTCTTGCCTTGTTAATAGTGTTGAATTCACCGGTTCAAGAATCAAGACCAGAGAACGAAATAGAGGAAGAGGAAACTATATTTTTCAGTAGATTTCAATTCATTGTACAGTGTTCTATATATAGAATAAAGCAGCAAAAAAGTACAGTAGCCTAGTCTGGGTATATCGAGAAGGTCCAATGAGTTGTTGCCACGTGTAGGATGGTTAATAGCCCCCCTCAAACTTGCGGTTGCAGAGCTGCTGTGAGTTTGGATGACATTAGTTGAAACCTGGTTGTGGGAAGAGCTTTGGTGAAGACGTCGGCAATTTGATCTGCTGTGCAGATGAGATGAACAGTGATCGTGTTGTTCCGAATATGTTCTCTGATGAAATGACAGTCTACTTTGATGTGTTTGGTCCTGGCGTGGAAGACCGGATTGTTGGCGAGTGCGATGGCGGAGGTGTTGTCACAGTATATGATGGTTGGAGTGGTTTGAGGGATATGAAAGTCTTCAAGGAGCCGACGCAGCCATATGATTTCTGTTGTAGCGGACGCAAGAGCACGGTATTCCGCCTCTGTCGATGAGCGTGCAATGGTGTTCTGTTTCTTAACTTGCCATGATATGAGTGATTTGCCTATGAAATGGCAATGATCGGAAATGGATTTCCGGTCGAGCGAACTACTTGCCCAGTCGGCGTCCACGTATCCGCTTAAATTGAGGTCGTGTGGGTGCAATTGGATGCCGATGTGTGTGGTGTCGTTGATGAACCGAAGAAGACGTTTGAGGGTGTCGTAATGCTGATTGAGCGGATGTTGCATATACTGGCATAGTTGGTGAACGGCGAACTGAATGTCCGGTCTAGTTAATGTTAGGTACTGTAGGGAGCCGATTAGGTGCCGATATAGTTGAGGATTGGAGAATGGATCTTAAGATGTTGGTGTTGTTGTGATTTTGCAGGCAACTGGAGTTGATACCGGCTTTGACTGACTCATTCCGGCACGTTCGACAATGGCCCGGGCATAATGGTGTTGGTGTAGTAGGATGCCGTTCTTGGTAGAGACGGCATGAATTCCCAGAAATTGATTGACTGAGCCGAGATTCCTCATCTGAAACGTGGAGTGTAAGTTAGACAGGAGATTATTAATTTCAGATTTAGAGTTACCTGTGAGTAGAATGTCATCGACGTAAATAAGGATGTATAGCCGTGTGCCATTGGAGTTGTAGGTGAGGAGTGACGGATCGAAGTTGCTGATTTTGAAACCGAGTTTGAGGAGGTGGTTGGATAGTGTGGCATACCATTCCCTCGGCGATTGTTTTAGTCAGTACAGCGCTTTCTTGAGCTTGCAGACATAGTGAGGATTGATAGAATCTTGAAACCCTGGAGGTTGTTTCATAAAGATGATGTCCGAGAGGGTACCGTGTAAGAATGCGTTGGATACGTCGAGTTGATGAATGTCCCACTGGTAGTGTAAAGGGATGAGGATGAGGACCCGAATCGTACTGATTTTGGCGACGGGGCTGAAAGTTTCTTTGTAGTCGACACCATGTTCTTGATCGTATCCTTTAGCGACGAGACGAGCTTTGTATCTATTGATGGAGCCGTCTGCATTGAATTTGAGACGAAACGTCCATTTGGAGCCGAGTACGTTTTGAGTAGGATGCGGTGGTACCAAGTCCCATGTTCCTTGAGCCATAAGTGCTTGAAATTCTTGAGACATAGCAGCTCTCCATTGCTCGAATTTAGCGGCTTGGAGATAAGTGGTGGGCTCGTTGTGTTGAATGGAGTGAGCAAGATTGAAGATTTTCTTTGGTTTCGAAATGCCGTGCTGCAATCTTGTTACCATAGGATGGGTAGTCGTGGGTATAATAGAAGAAGTATGAGCAGGTTGAGGTGGGCTCGAATAGGAGGATGAGCGAATGGAAGTGGTGACTTCTTCTGAATTGGTGCTAAGGGATTGAGAAGCTGGGGGAGTCATATTACTGTGATGTGGTATATGAGATTCTTTATGCTGTGGAGTGCACGGGGTGGTTGTGGGAACCAATAAGAGGGGTGGTGTATAGTGAGTGGATGTGGTGTTGTTTGAGTGAGTTGATTGCTGTGAGGCAAACGGGAAGATTGACTCGTCGAATATGACATGGCAAGAGGTGTAAACTTTGTTAGATGTAGGGTCTAGGCATCTATACCCTTTCTGTGAATCGGGATATCCAATGAAAACGCATGGTTGAGAAACAGGGGATAATTTGTTTGGTGCGTGTGGCTTGAGCCAAGGATAGCAGAGGCTTCCAAAAATTCTGAGGTGTTTGTAGTGTGTTGGTTGTTTGTAGAGAAGTTCATATGGTGATTTGGATTGAGTGTTTGGGGATGGCATACGATTAATGAGGTGATTAGCCGTGAGCAGGGCGTCAACCCAAAGATGTTGCGGAACCGAGGCTTGGAGTAGCAATGTTCTGGTTTTGTCGATTAGGTGTCGGTGTTTGCGTTTGGCGACGCCGTTTTGGGATGGGGTGTGAGGACATGTGGTTTGATGTATGATGCCGTGAGAGTTGCAGTAAGTTTTGAATTTGTTGTTGATATATTCCCCTCCGTTGTCTGTACGAAGTATGCGTATCTTTTTGTTAAATTGACGATGGATTAGCTGAGAAAACTCAAGAAATTTGTTAAAAGTTTCAGACTTATAAACCAGAGGATATATCCATGTGACTTTAGTGAAATCATCAATAAAAGATACATAGTAACTAAATCCTGTTGGAGAGACCACAGGGAATGGTCCCCATACATCGGAATGCACTAGAGAAAACGGAAAGGTAGAGGTGGTTTGAGAAAGCGGCTTGTGTAGCCGATGGCTTTTAGCCATTTTACAAGAATTATAGGTATTAGTCTTGAGAGGGACGACGACATCATTGTGACTTCTGGTGATTATCCGGAAAGCTTGATTGGAGGGGTGACCGAGCCTGCGGTGCCACAGGTCTGGTATGTGCTGTACAGAAAGAAGAGAGAGTTGTTTGTCGGAATGATCAGCGGCTTTGAGAGGATACAGGCCATCAATAACAGGACCTGTGAGAAGAAGCCGGTGGTTCTTCCGATCCTTGATTTCATAACCATTTGAGGAAAATGTAATAAGGTAATTGTTGTCAGTATTAAGCTTATGGACGGACAAGAGATTAAATGCAAGATTTGGTACAAGATTTAGATTTGCTAGTTGGAGACTACCTGATGGTGTCGGCAAGATACCTTTACCCGTGTTTTGAATAGGAAGCTGTTGCCCGTTGCCGAGAACGATTTGATCTGAGCCTTGGTATGGCTGTGGCTGTTGGAGCTGGTTGGGATCAGAGGTAAGATGAGCGGATGCCCCGCTATCAAGAAACCAGTCGCTGGAGCTGGTTTGAGATGGAGATATGAACAGCGCGAGAGTAGGTTCAGTGTTGTAATCTTCATTGTGACGATTCCAACATTTGATGGCTGAGTGGCCGAATTTTCCACAGATTTGACAGGTAATTTGCGGGCGAGGTGGTTTGTTGTTGCGATTGTTGGTGGTGTTGTAGGTAGAACGATTTGAGGATCTTCCGCGGTTTGACGAAGTACGACCACGGCCGCGTCCGCGACTTGCTGCCAGAGCGGTAGAGTTGCCATTGAGCTGAAGTGATCGGAGATCTTTGGAGGTCTCATGCGCCAGGTTTAGTTCTTCGCTGCATAACAGGCTGTAGAGTTCGTCAAGACTTACCGACCGGAGATTTGTACGTATGGCAGTCTTAAAGGCTTGGTAATTGTTTGGAAAGCCGTTGAGTGTATAGTGTATGATGTCTTCGACCTCAACGGGTGCTCCTGCTGAGGCGAGAGCGTCGACCTCAGTTTTTACTTCAAGAAGATATTGAGTCATGGAGTTTTCTTTCATAGAAAGAAAATGGAGTTCGTTTTTCAGTTGACTGATTCTTGATCGTGTACAGGATTGTAGCCTCAGATCGAGAGTTTTCCATATGTCTACGCAGTGATCTAGAGAAAGAACGTAGGGAAGTATAGACGAGTTGATTACAGAGTAGAGAGCGGCTGCGAGGTTTTGATCTATGAGCACCCAGGTGTCGTGTGAGGGGTTTTTGATGGTTTGGCCGGAAGTATCGGTAATGAGGGGTGGCGGGCGGCTGATAGAGCCAGTCAGAAATCCTTCGTAGCCATTTGCGCGAAAAAGTTTGATCACTTGCGACCGCTATAGAGCGTGATTTTCAGAGGTGAGCGGCTGGGTGATGACGTTCTTGATGGTTTGCATCAAGAATTTGAGGGAAGACGGAAATGAAGTTGTGGAGAAATTATCTTGGAGATTGGCGGAGAGGTCCGCCGGTGCTGGAGATGGAGGAGAGGTGGAGGTGGCCGTCGATGTGGCTGTCGTTTGAGCCATTCGAAGAACCAGAGTATGCATAGGCTCTGATACCATGTTGAATTCATCGGTTCAAGAATCAAGACTAGAGAACGAAACAGAGGAAGAGGAAACTATATTTTTCATTAGATTTCAATTCATTGTACAGTGTTCTATATATAGAATAAAACAGCAAGAAAGTACAGTAGCCTAGTCTTGGTATATCGAGAAGGTCAATGAGCTGTTGCCACGTGTAGAATGGTTAATATGAAAACCTCCTTTTTTTTGCCAATGTTTGAGTGAATTTTCATGATTGACTTCCATTAAATGGTATTGAGAACTTGATGTTGGCAATTTATAGTTTTCATATAGTTCAAAATAGTTTAATTATATAAATCTAATTAAATTTCCTTGAGTTTGATTCAACTTTGTACGCCTACCGTAAGAAGAGATGAGTGCACATAAGTCTTTGAGTCCTTTAGCTCTTTCAGTAAATTAAAAAAGACCATAATGATGAAACAGTAACCACCTTATTTGCTTGAGATGCCTTGAAAAGCATGTTATGTGGTCATTCAATCGAGATCATGAATTTAAAAAAATGTAGCTAGATTATAACACAAGTTATATCTTCAGGTGAAAATATTTGAATTTTGAACCTTAAACTACGGTTCTTACTTTAATTACCTACAGCAGAATCGACAATCAGTTCGCAAATATTTTCTACTTTCTAAAAAGAACTACAAGGAACCATCGGAAAATTGAAACGAGAGAAACTAAAAATAAAGTTCTGATCATTACCTCTTTTTGCACCAAGGTTAGCAATAGTAAAGCTTGCAGACCCTTCATCTCCAGCATGCTAGAAGTCCTGCAGCTCCTTGTGGTTCAGCCATGGCTTGACCCACACCTTCGCCTCATAAATCTTCTTCTTCCCGGCGTCGATCGCCTCCAGCGTTAGATGGGACTGTGTTCCCGTCACCACTTGCTCCTTAGCCTTCAGCAGACGAACGAACTCAAGAAGTGCATTCTACAACAAAAAACCAAAATAAAACATAAACAACAAGAAAATCATCAAACCCACTAGGGACAAAAATCCTAATACCCAACGCAGCGGCATACGAAATCGAAAAATGGGAATTAGTAATGCTTCGTCAGCAAGGATTCAAAACGGAAATAAAAAATTTGGGGGCAGCGGCGACCTCCTTCTTGTTGAGCTCGTCGACGGCGAAGCGAGCATACTCCTCCATCTCTGCGCTGTTCTGATTAAGGTTCACATCACGAGGTCCTCCAACGATTGCCATTGCTGCTCCTTAAGCAAGAGAACAAATAGCGTCGAAGAGACGACACAAAACCGATTTCAGAAGCGAACGCTGGACTGGAAAGCGCACAGAAAAGTCAGCACCCCCAGAAGCAGACTGAGTTGTCTGATGATAATCCGCAGCCTCATCATCAGCGGGAGGGGAGAGAGAGGGAGAGGGAGAGAGAGAAGGAGAAGGCGGCCTGTGCCGGTCATAAGAGGAAGGTGAACGGGATCGTGCCGTGTGGGAAGAGGACGGAGAAGCTGGTTCACTATTTCGTGACAGAGAATTTCTAGCCCGCTCAATTTGAAGTCGCGCCATCTGCCTCCCCTAATACACCTAATGCTTCCCACAACTTCCTTATGTTCCGCTCTAAATTAACCAAACATGTAATTACATTACTTTACACTCTTAATACAGCATATCAAACAGCCCCAAAATAAAAAAAGAAGGAGATTTATATACATACCACTTTATTTCAGAAAAAGAATTTCAGTAGTTCGATTTTTTAATTACATATATATATTTTTTTATGTGATGCATCGCAGACAAAGTTATATGAGTTGTTTTAGGAGCTGCTTTTTTTTTTTAATAGACATTTAGATCATTTAAGACAAATTCATATGCAAAATACATATATAAAGATTTGACCCCAAGACCTTTTAGTTGGGAGCCTAAGCTCTCAACTAATAGGCCAAGGTGAAAAATGTAGAATGGGTCACATTGGTAGATGCGAACTAGTTCCTCCCTCGAATTCGCATTCGAAACTCCTAATGTTTAAAAAAAATGCATAATAAAAAAATAATATAAAAAAGAATATAATATATAGAAATGATTTAGATGAATTTAAAAAGAATGTATGAAATTATTATTATTTATTTGATTGAAGTAAAATAAAATATAATATAATGTTTAAAAATGATGGTGGTTATCACGATGGTGGCTAGTGGAAGAACGTAGCCAATGGCAGTGGCCAGCAATGGGTGGAGATAAGATAGGTTTTGTAGTCATAATAATCAAAACTAAACGAGTTTACTTTAAAAGCTGGGTGGTGGCATGTAGTTAGTTTGATTATTCTCATATTATGAGAGGTGACCATGCTATTAAATATATGCGCATTAAAGGTTTATGGATATTTAGGTTTTGATTGGAACATTTTTTTATCGTTTTTTAAAGTAAAATTTTAGTATAAATTTTTATTTTTTGTTCTAAAATATTATTTTAAAAAAAGTAGTAAGAAAATCATCCTAAATGAAGCCTTAGTATTGTATAAAGCTTTTTGGTAAGTGTTAGTTGGTCGTAGATAGGAAATATCAAAATTACAGTGATAATAGGAAATTAGCTTCGCTGTTTTTTCTATTATGAGGGGAAAATACATTACTTGCAAAATTTGTATCAAACATGAACAATTGGTGGATTTCAAATGTCATTGGATGGAGAATGTCATGCATTGATAAAAAAGCAAGCTTAATGCAGTGATTGTTCTCTTGATCGGATGGGAGACCTTATGATCATAAAGTTGAGCATTAAACATTATTGACTAACAAATGTAGGATGTTTGTCATTGGAAATTATTAGTAATGTTAAAAGTCAGGCAATGATGGGGGATTAGTTTGACCATTATATTAATAAGAGGCAATGCTACTTGATTAATGAGCCTAGAATATTGATCGATGGAGGTCGTTGGATATTGGTTGTCAGAAAGTGTTAAGTGATGGTCAATAGAAAATATTGCAAGCCGAATAATGGGGGGCTAATAGCTCAGCAATCTCTTGATGTGTCTAATATGATTGCTTGTTTTAGTTTAAATCAATTTCTATAAATAAATATAAATTTTTAAATAATAATAATAATTTATGTATTCATATTTAATACATATGCACATGTGTATATTGGGGAGAAATTTTGATATATAAAGAATACATCACGAGACGTGATGATGGAAAGACATTTTTTATCAAAATCAAATAATGTCTACTAAAGAAAATTTCTCTTGACAGGATGAAGTCA